TGTGTGTGTGTGTGTGTGTGTGTGTGGCAGATGACCGCTCCTCTTCGAACAACTGGTCGCACCGGTGTGACCGGACGTTTTTTAGTCGCACTATTAGGAAATCAGGTCTCACTCTTCAGCCCTGATGAGACGATTTTTGAACGTGAAGCAGAATTCAGAGGCGGAATGACAACATTTCTCTTTTCCCACTATTAAAAAAATTATATTTGTGACCCACCATATCTAAATGAGGATTAAGTCAAATTTGGTCAAAATGACCTAATTACATTTTCAGATTCCTGCTTTAAAAGCTACATTTTGACACCTGGATCATCCTGATATCATCAGTTTATCCAGAGATATGATTTAATTTGTCTTGATGGTTAAGATAACACATTACTGTTTGGTTTGAATCCTAATTTTATGTAAATTTATTGAGTAAATTTTGATGTCAAAATAAAGAGGAAACCTCAAACAGTATTTGTATATTAAGATTTCCCACCTGGAAAGAAACAAAAATGTTGCTAACTCACAAGGAACAATTCAAAAATTTAAAGCGTTTTTCCTCAAAATCAGATTTTTTGTTGCTGCTGTTAAAAAAATGCTTCAAAAATTTTTAGGTTTATATTTTAGACAGTTCATCCAAATGACACATTGATAAGGTATTAATTCATTAGATTTTGACAAAATGCTATTTTTGCACTTGTTTAAATCAAAACCCTGTACCTCCTTGTTTCTCCACTTTTGGACTTAATCCTCATTTCAATGTAACGGGTCACATATTCTTTATTTCAAGACAAAAAGTATTCCATATCATACATATATATAAAGAAAAGTAAAAAAATAGTAAAAAACAAACAAACAGATAAAACAAAACATCAGATAAAGACACAGATAAACAGTTCTTCCAATACTTAAAAAAACAGAAGTAAACCTAAAATCCCTGCATGTTGCAGTTGTCAGCGCTCTTATTATTAAATTCTTTGATGCATCCAGATGACACTTATAGTTATATAATAAATATTAAGTGGATTTAACTGATTTAATGTCGTCCTTCTTGCAGTAAGGAAAAACCCGGTTCAGGAAACAAACCTGGCCAGGAGAGTGACGGCTCCGGCGACCACCGGAGACGCCACGCTGGTCCCGGACAAAGAACGACACCCCTCCTTCAACCCGGAGCCCCGAACGCCGGAACCGTAGGTGACGATGTCGGGCTTGACTCGGCCGTACCCCCCCGGCAGCTCCTGGATGCAAAAAAACAACAGATTTAATCCTGAGCTTTAAAAAAACTGACTTTAAGACAGAAAACAAAAAAAAGAACTGGATCCAGCGGTCTGAACGTTTCCATCAAGCTGCTGTAACAGCTGACAGGAAGTCAGGAACTCACCCAGGTGGTCATCCCTCTGGAGGAGAAGCGGGCGATGTTGTCCTCGAAGTCGATGCCCCCGACTCCGATCACGTCCATCTGGTCAGCCGGATTGTTCAGGGTGCTAAAAAAAGAAAACATGACCTGGTTAGTTTTACAACAATAACAAAGGCACAATTTACTTTTTCATTAAGACAACGGACTCTTCAGGGGTCTCTTCCCAGTGGGACATGTCCCTAAAACTAGGGCTGCAACTAACGATTACTTTAATAATCGATTAATCTGTCAATTATTTTTTCGTTTTTCAATTATTAGTTTTTAGTTTTTCTGTTAAGGGTTCAGACCCAGAGCACCTGCGTCTTCTTCTGAACGGTGTTCTGAACTGTAAACAGTTGTTTCTTGCACATTAAAATGTGTTTTTCCTGCATACTTTGTTGTTCAGATGATTAAATGTAATTTATCTTGTTTACAGCTTGACTGTTTTAATCCATTTCAATCCCAGCAGTTTAGGGATTAATTAGAGATGAACACACCCGTACAGAGGTCCATCGTTGCCGATAGCAGAAACCATGATCACCTTGTTGGCTGTCAGCTCCCACACCTGCAAAAATGAATATATTTAGTTGATTCAGAAGTTTAAAACTAAACATTTTTATACTTTCACACGTCTGGATCAACATTCTGATCACGATGCAAACACTTCAACATTTACTGACAATATTTATCGAAGGTTTTCTACCGTCTGTTGTCCTGCAACACAAACCAGAACAATATTTTGTCCAATCTGCAGAGTTAGGAGCAACATTTCCGCCTGCAGGAGATAAAATAATCAGAGCAACTTGCTCTCATGGTGGCTGGACTGGGATTATTATAAAAACTCGTTCTTCCACCCGACGTGCAGAAATCTGAGCTCACAGGAAGTGAAGCTGAATAAAATCAAACAAAGGAATCTTAAAGAGAGAAACAACTGGAGAATATGTGCATAAAAAACACAAAAAAACACTGATTTAATTTGTTTTATCTTTAAAAAACATAAAGAAAAACATTTCTTTTCTTTTCTTCTATAAAACCAACATGGTTCCATTAAAGAAACGGGTCAGGAGTGAATCTTTAAAGCTGCTATGTTTTTGTAAATATAGAGATTTTATTTTGACCTCATCATCATCATCATCACCATCAGGAGTGAACGTCTGAAAACATTAATGAACCTGGTCTGACCTGTTCGTACCGACCGTCGACCCGCCTCGCCTTTTGAAGCTTTTGTGAAAAGTTGAAAACAAAAGAAAACTTCTCGTCGACACTTGTTCTGTTTAAACAAACCCGGGGACTCGCCCGCCGCCACACCAAACCTTCACGTCACCTTGTCCACAAAGGGATGGTCCATGAAGTCCGGACCCCCGATGCTGAGGTTCAGAACATCGATTTTCTTCAGGATGGCGTAGTTAAAAGCATCCAGGAACCAGGAGGTGTACGAGACCTGAAGGAAGAAGCATTTAGACCCAGTCTGAGACAGAACTGAAGGTTTTTAATATCTGAGACCACCGGAGAGAGGAAAAGAAGCCTCAGCAGGGAGGTGAGAGGGTCCTGTCTACCTGGTTGTTGGTGAAGACTCTGAAGATGTGCAGCTCTGAGTCCGGAGCGAAGCCCTGACACTCCCTCATGCTGGCGATCACTCCTGCAACAAACGTCCCGTGGCCCAGGCCTGGACAGCAGGACCACCACAGATTACACACTCAACCAGTGTGTGTGTGTGTGTGTGTGTGTGTGTGTGAGGTGATAATCAGCTGTTAGCTGCTCAGAAAGGTCAAAGTTCAGTGAAGGTGAACACCTCAGAAGAACCGGGTCAAAGTTTGGATCGGACCGAATTAAACCAACAGGTTCAAACTCTGAACCCAGGATTCTTCTCCTACTTCTCTCCTCTCCAAAGTCTAAATCAAACAGCTTTTAAGCTTTTTTTTGTCAGCTACACTGATAATAAATCTCATCTGTGTGGGATCAATCTTGTGTCAGCAGGAACTGAATTTCCTCATTTCAAATTGAATGCATTGGTTTGAAAATAAATTTTACTAAATTGAAACTGAATTTAAAGTTTTGTATCTGCATTAATTTGCTTTGAAACTGCATTTTGGTTTATTAAAAATTCAGTTTGACTACTTTCACTTTCAATTCCATAATTCAGATTTTCGTGTCACATCCTGGTCCTTGAGAAA